TAATTTCCTTTTTTTTAATCTTTCGGTGGATTAAGTCAAGGAAATTACTTTCATATTCGAAAAATTGTATGATTTTAGATTTGAAAAATAATGATTAGACGATAAACGTGCGATAAAAATAAAGGATATCCGTTCGCAACAAAGAAGGCTTTTTCAAATCCTGATGCATTTGTTTTTGTTGCAAATTGTTTTTCGGAAGTGGTGAAGTTTCGTAACCAAATACATTCCATAGCAGTTAGTTGTCTGATCATTTTAAGAGAATGCAGGTATAAAAGAGGTGGCAGATGGCGTATGGTAGACGAACTCACATATACACTTGTTCAAAGCTGACTGAAATTGAAAGAAAAGAAACCAGAGATCATGGAGTTGAAAAAGATGTTTCCAGTAAGTATATAGTCATTGTCAGTCCTTTCTTGTACATCGAATGTTCCTTTTCAGGTTAGGGTAATTTCACATATCAAACATATTTGATTTAGTTTGATAGATTCTATGGTTTAAATGTTTCAGCCAGATAGGTTCTTCAAATGAATCGCCACAAATATCCTGCGATATTATACGGTTACTTGGACAGTTGTTTACTTTGTACTGTAAAAAAATACCTTTTTAACCATAATGATTCGGCTGCGCGCGCTACTCTTCTCTAACTTATTTGCTTTTCCCGCCCCTATGAGAAATGAGCAGAAAGACTTAGCACAAAAAGAAAGCAGTTGGATAATAAGTAACTTACTAGACGTTTTGGTATGTTGTATCGCTGAGTATAGCTAGTTTTGGCGTGTGGTATCAGCGATAATACACCAAAACGTCTAATAGGATATATGTACTCTGTATGTGTTTCAGTTACATGCTCATTCTGTGTCACTTAAAGGTTAATGTATTGAAATTGTTTTGATAATGGTAAAGTTCTTATGAAATTGTGACAATATGTCTCGCTATCTTAAATGTCTGGTTAAATTCATCTGAAATCACTTAGATTTTTCTTTTCAATTCTTGACACGCTGAACGAGGGTTGTTAACGAATTTGAAGAATATTTCCTTAGTACATCAGACCCTCCAGATACCTTATCTTTCTTGAATAATTAAAAAAATAAAAGAAAAGAAAAACGGAAAAAAAGTTCAAAACACGACAAAATAACAAGATAGAAGAAAGCATGCAAAAAAAAAAAATGAAAACTTATAGAATAAAAAGCTTCTCTTTTGTGTTGATGAAACACCATGGTGTTTTTATTTTACTTTTTCATTAGATTGTCGTTGTGTGCCTGGTAGTTCTCGTGGACTTCAGCGAGTCAAACGAACGTAAAAATAAAACCCTTAAATCAGCGATATGCGACGCTCTTACAACTAAAGCATGTCTGATGAAGATTCAGAGGTGTTCAACAAGTGAGAGGAAATGTCAGGTTAGAGTTAATGGAACAACGACCACAGATCCAGCAGCGAGTGAGTAAACTTTGATGAAAATTTTATTTTATTATAAAAGTGTACATGAATTCTTTACACTCGTCGGTGTTTTTATCTTTCGACTTGAAATAGACTAGGATGGGATTTGTAAAACTGATGGTTATGAATATGTGATGACACAAGCACACATTTTGATGAGAAGTGCTTTCTTTAAAAAGTGACTTAATGAAAAATGAAAAATGATGGGAATAAATGCTGATGGCTAAAGTACCTCATACCATTAAAATGACGATTTCCAAATCATCGTCTAAGGGTGGTATGTAATCAGCTTTCATTGGCCTGCTTTTCGTGTCCATCAGATCAAAGCGAAAGAGACTTAGAATGCCTAATCCTAACATTGAACTTGACATAGAATGTGAAATGATACAAAGGAAAGAAGGCCACAAAGAGAAAGGAGTATCACTTAGCTATAACGTAGGCGATATCATGAATAAGACGTCGATTTGACAGACCTAGACACTAGTTGTATCTAACTAAAGTCATGAGTGCAAGGAGATACCTTTTGAAAAACGATAGCTCACAAGGGTAATTATTTTTTTTTGTAGGATTTACCATTGTTAGGGTTTATAAGTCAACCCCAAACATTACAAAGTGCATTGAAGTCACTTCACCCAGCCATGTTAAATATGCAATGAAGGTTGACTCCATAAACAGCATCATTTTTGAGGTGAGCAGATCGCAAAACAATATCAGAAATATAATCATCGTGGTCGATAAAAGATGTAACGAAGGAGTTGTACACTCTTTCGTGCGTTTACTTAACAATGAACAACAGTACTTCAATTTATATCCTCATACACTCAGTGAAACAGTATTTACCTCTTATCGCTCCTTTCCTAGAGAAATGGACTTAAACTGCCTTGCATTTTTTATCATTGGCCTTAAATTGGAAAAGATCTTCCCTAATTAATTTTACGTTTTTATTACATTCACAGGAACAGCAGAATGGCTGCAATAACAAAACTGCTGATGCCTTTATTTTTACTGAAGCTCGTGACAGTGATTCTGGCTATTTTACATATACACACAATTCAAGGTGCTTAGGCACAAACATTGATGGCACTTTGTCCTTGATGGCTATTAGTGATACAAATACAAAAAAATGTAGCTTTAAACACATTAAGTGGCCTCTCCTACGCTGAAAAAATATGTACTCACAAATACGTTGCTGATTTAAAACTGTAGCGTAAATATGGTAGAAAATTAACTCAATACGTTGTCAAGTTACCCATGTTTATAAAACTGAGTATTGCACTGCAAAGAGCCTGGTGATATCTACAAAATCCACTAATCCTATACTTTCAGAAGCGAAATGTATATCACATGAGGAGCAGGGTGTTGAGGGAGGAGGAGGTGAAACGTGTTATAAATAACATAATGAAGCGTCTGCTTGAGTTTGCACCTCAAATACTCTTCCTGGGACAAGTAACATCATTCAAGATCATGGATTTTTTACATGACAGTTTTTTTCGGTCTCAAAACTACATTTTCACATGGCAACTTATCAACGTATATCTGTTATTTCATGATTACTTCGTTTCACCCTCGTTAACTGAAAAGGATTCATGTAAGCGACAAGGGTTCAAAGCAAAGTAGAGCCTTGTATTTCCTTTGTTACGCTTAGCCTAACTCATTGCAAAAAGTTGCAATATTAGTAATTCAATTAGCTCTATAATGCGAATAACTGGTGTGGTTCGTTGTAATCGTACACTATCCGATTTTTTTCTAAAGAAGTGTTGGTTTGTCATGTGTACGCCTGTCTTGCTTGCTTTGCTAAGAATAGCGTCTCATCACGGTTCCCACTTAGACCAAGGTTAATCAAAACTAGAACAAAACTTTAGAATGTGATTGATTATCACCAGCCCGATTTTAACACTGATAGGACTGCACGCGTCATGCTTGTAATTGCACAATGTTATAAGACAGTTAAAGGGCTTCGCACTCATCCGATTTTGTTAATCACTTGTATGATTACAGACAGAATTTGACTCCACTCGGTCCTATTACCACTATAAATAGTTTCGTTCCTTCCATCGCATTCATAGTAATACTAGTTTTCTTCCAAAATTCTCTCTTCAGAAAGGAACTTATAATTAACATCATTTACAATACCACAACGGGATGATTTCTACAGGAGAAAATAAAAATAAATAGGTGAGGGAACAGTTATTTTGGAAAAAGTAATTCGGAGTCAATTTAATCTGATTTGATTAACATCTAGTGATATGAGTTAATAGAGACCTCTAGATCGGAGAACCAAGACCAGGATCAGGATCAGTTTTGTTACGCGCGCGCATACTGAGCATCACACTAGGTCTGTCACGGCCAGGCAACCTGAAAAACTCGTCCTCCCTAAGTGGTCGACAACGAGTTTTTGTTAAAAAGTCACCCTCCCGAAACCAGTTTTTTAGGTGAAGTTTACTTATTGTTGACAATGCTTTTATCTTTCAAAAGACATTAAAAAAATATTTTCAGTCGTGTAAACTATAGTGTTGATATCCAATTTGAAACAAATGAAGAGAGAAGAACTGATTTTTTGTCGCTTTGTTATGTAAACAAATGAGGCCAAGTTGGTATGTTGCGAACTGCGTTTTTGTTTTACAAGATAAATTGAGAGTACTAAAGGTTAGGTTAAGTTTACTTATTGTTGACAATGCTTTTATCTTTCAAAAGACATTAAAAAAATATTTTCAGTTGTGTAAACTATAGTGTTGATATCCAATTTGAAACAAATGAAGAGAGAAGAGCTGATTTTTTGTCGCTTTGTTATGTAAACAAATGAGGCCAAGTTGATATGTTGCGAACTGCGTTTTTGTTTTACAAGATAAATTGAGAATACTAAAGCAGTATCAATACTTTATTAAAATATTTCTTGAAAGCTTTATGGCCATTGCGGGGAACAATTAAATGAAAAAGAAATGAAAGATATTGCAAAGTTACAAATTGTCCTTTTTTGTGTCCATGATAATCTGTATAACCTCCACCTCTTCAAATACATCGTCAATATATAACATGGTCAAATCAGGGAGAAAGCAGCTTGAAAACTAAAAAGCTCGCACCGGCACTGGTTGTTTACACTCTAAATGTTGCCATTTTGACGCGTACCAGTTCGAAGACAAGTCTGTAGTGCCATTGCGCGCGCGGCCAAAACTGGTCCTGGTCCTGGTCCTGGTTCTCGGATCTAAAGGTCTCTATTGTTGTAAATACAAGCTTCCAAAAATCTCCAGACTATTTATTCATGTTGACTTGCATACCATAGAACTTTCTAGGACATTTCATCAAGTGACGCATTTATTACGAAATACTACTAAAATAGTTCTTACATGAGCTTTTGGAATGTACATGGCAGAACACTTTGTGATTATATGTTAAGACTCACCTATGTCATAGTAAAAGCAGTAGTAGTTGTTGTTGTTTTCGGAGCGACGACTGTTTCGAAAGCCATATACCGAGGGAGTGAGTTACTGCAGAAGATTGCTCATTTCAAGGAACTTTGGAGACAGCAGTGAGATGGTGTCAGTGGTGTGCTAGGATATAGACTGTGGTGAGCTTACTTAAGTTTATTAACAATAAGTATTGTACTTCTTTTAGGAGTCGCTCCTGGTTAAGAACATTACTTGCTGTGAAATAAAGAAGTTGAGTTTGTAGGATTGTAGTGTTTTTCTGTCGGTTAGATTATACCGTAACACTAACCCGTGGAGAACAATTATAATTATGTTGAGCTTCTCTTAGATATGGCTTAACGTTGTTTCACTTAGTCATCAACATGACTGCTTGTGCGCAAATGTGATTTTCCATCGCGTTTTGATTTCTTCGTCAGTTTGAATGCTTCTTCCTCTTGTTCTTTCCCTCTGTTTCTCTTTCTCATCGTTTCTTTCAGTTTGTTCGTCAAGAGTTTTGTTACTTTTGAGAGATAACAGTTAATGACAATATTTTTATTGTTGGTTGAAAATCAGGCACTGTGTCTGTCAAGTGAAAATTTTCACAGAGGAGAAATCTTGAGGGGTCTTAAAATGGATTCTGTTATATTCCGAGGGAATTAAAAAGAAATATTCGAATATAATCTTGTTGAGCTGAATTGTTCGTGTTTTCGGCTGTATTGTTTCGAAATGTGCACATCTCAAAAAATCAATATGCTATTGTTCTTGACCTTGGTTGAATACGTAGAGCCGGCTTGTACGTCAGAAAAATGAATGCACTTCTTTTTTCCGCTTGCTGAGATCGTAAATCCTTTACAAACAAACAAAAAATAAACATTCAAACAATCAGAACATTGATGGGTAATTCTTTCGTTGTACTGACATGTAAGGACAAGTGAAGTTATTCAACGATTATAAAACATTACGAATTTTCTACGTCCCAAAGCCATTGGAATTTCTCCTCAAACTATTAACCTCCTTTATCGGTGGCCACTGGTGTCCATATATCAAGAGCATTGTCTTTTTTCCTCTTTTTCCTTTTTTTTCAATAATTCTCTAATTAATGTCTTCAGCCTTGAGACTCTGCAGTTTTCTATTTTTTTCCGTAACCTTTGAATTAGCGAAATTACACGCGCTTACTCGTATCGGAGTATCGTGTGGTCAAGCTATAACATCTAGCGGCGTGTCACATTGATGCTTTCCGGACTAGAAGTCGTACTTATTAGTGCCGATCCCAACAAGATTGTCGCCACCACATTTACGTTGTCTTACGTAAGACTACGAGATCTCGAGGTTGGTCTTGTACCACCTACGCTTACACGAATCGGCAAATTGAACTGCAATGTGACATGTTTTGACTAAATGTTGCAGTTTGCAGTAATTCAGATTTTTTTTTCTTTCATTAGTTTTTCCCAAGTAATTGATATCTGTTTACAAAAGTGAAAAAATTTCCTAAATTTCATTCTAAGAAGACAAACTAGGAACCATGCTTAACCGCATTAGACATTTTTAAAAGTCGCCTTATAATTGAATACAGCTCGTGGAGGTCATTATTCATCTCGTCAATAAGAATGTACGCGCTCAAAATGTAAAATATGCCCCATAAATTCGACTATATCTCTAAAGAGGCGAAGAAAACCGAAGGATACCGTAACATGTATAACTACACCTATTTGTCTAGTCATTGAGTGAGTGGGCGAAAAAGGCGTTTAGCTTTAGTTCAAATCAATCAGTGCCAATTGAAGATTGTGTTAAGATGACACGTATTTGAAATATCTCGATCATGCAGTTCAAAATTTCTCTCATGATATTTAATTAAGCGTGTTGATAAAAAATGGAATGATATAAAATCAAATTAAATGAACCTTATTGTGCAACTAAAGTTTGGTGAATTCTGACTGTAGACATGACCTGTCAATTGGCAATACAGATTAAAAAAAACAGACTGATAGAAAGATATAAAAAAATAACTGTGACCTCAAAAGACCAAAAACAATGTATAGGAAAATCCATGTGAACGATCGAGAACATGTTTAGCCTAAGTGTAGCAGAAATATAGGAATGTACAGCCACGGCATGAAAAATGTATCAATTGAAATGAAACTACGGTTTGCTTAATTTGTACTTGTCCTTGGATTTTAATTCGTAAAAGTTGTGATTCGTTTCTACTGAGGTCATGATCTCTAATGAAAAAGATATGGAAAATAGGGTGAATCGATTGAAAATTAAGAGGTTTATCACTATAATCTATCACTAGATATTCCACCGAAAAGACTTCCCCCACTTCCTCTGAAATATTTCTAAGAATGGATGTATAAATAACATATGCTATATATCGGCTATGTATCGTTTAGCACTCTTAAAAGCGAATAAAATCAGACCAGGAATACCATTAAAATCAGCCATAATAAAGTCAGTCTCTTTTATGTTTATCATAAAAAAGTTTTCTTTTGTTTACTTTTTTTTTTAGTTTTTGAACGATCTGATTGAGCTTGTGAAAGTCTGAACTTTCCAACATTTCATGGAAAAGGTGCGAAAAATTTTAAGCAACAATAAAAGGCTTCCGAGTTAGTTTAAAACTCGTCTTACTTACTATAGTTAACTTACAACAGGCTGTGCGAGAACAAAGTGTTTGGCATTCATTTCCAAACTGAGGGATTTGGACCGAGTAATTACTAAATCTCTTAAGGCCTATACTCGAAGAATCATTCGGAAATTCCCTAAATGGCAAGAGTCTTTTCACACCTTATTTTGACTTGCATCGTGGGTTGAGAAAAGTTCTGCTTTAGTATCCTCTTTCCCCTATTATGGTCCTTTTGGAAAATGACGAAAACTATTTATAAAGGCTGTCTGCCATCGAGTATTTACCACATTTACGTTGTATTACGCAAGACCACGAGATCTTGAGTTTGGTCTTGTTCCAACTTACGCATACATGAATCAGCAAATAACTGCAATACGACATGTTTTGACTAAATGTTGTAGTTTGCAGTAATTCAGATTTTTCTTTCATTAATTTTTCCCAAGTAATTGACATCTGTTTACAAAAATGAAAAAATTTCCGATTCAATCTTTTTGAAATTTCATTCTAAGAGGACAAACTGGGATCCCATCCTTCACGACATGAGACACTTTTAAAAGCCGCCTTGCAATTGAATATCTAAATAATCTCTAAATAGGAAGGGTATTTTTACATCATGTTTTGACTTACATCGTGGGTTGAGAAAAGTATTGCTCTAGTATCCTCTTTCACCTCTTATGGTCCTTCTGGAAAATGACTATTCATAAAGGCAGTCTGTCTTAGAGCGTTTCACTGAGGCGAAAAAAATGCTGTATTACCGAAGAAATCCAAATTAGCTAAACGAATAAATTACTCCAGTGGCATAATAATCTTTTTTTTTTACTGATAGCAAATTTTCTTCTCAGGTCACGCATAACTTGAGATGAGAAACTTTACCTCCTGAGCAAAAACTGAAAAAGTTGCCTCATCATTGCCATAGCATACTGCTTTCTAGCTTTTGAGAGCACGTGCCGCGTCGTTCGATAAAATCTTATACAAAAGGAAATGTTATGAAAGCCTTAATAGGTGCGGGATCCTGTTCCGAAACTGAAGATAAAGATCACGTATACATGGTACTGAGTTCATCCTAAATGTATAGCAATATAAATATGGGAGTTGGAAGAGAGAGCAAACATAAATGCAACAAACTTGCCTCACTTTGACACACATATTACTCGAGGAGATCGAAAATAGAAGGAATATGAAATTTTACTAAGGGGCTGTTTTTGAATGAGGTGACTTACTCTAGTTTTGATGAATTTCCTATGCCCTGTTCTTTCGTGCCTCAAGCTGCAGCACAGCGTGAATTCTTCGGGGCTCAAATTTCTACACTTTCTCTGATAATAGAAAAGATGTTGATTCGCTACAGTGGTGACAAAATTCAGCTATGCTCAGGATGTAGCAGTGAGATATATTTTCCGCAACATTGCAATTGTAATATTTTGAGGGCTGGGGGCTCTGTTTGAGGCAATACCAGTTAAGGAAATATTTTGAGCAGGGTCCCAGAGTATGGTCATATAAATACACGCCATATTCCTACCCGATCAATCAATCGACTTTATTGACGTTTACACTCGGATCAGCCCAACAGAAAGTTTTCTATTCTTCGAAAGGATTCAGAAAACAAAAACGAAACTTAAGAAAGACATTCAGTTGGGCTGTCAAGCAATAAAGGACTTTAAAACGCAAATAGAAACATAGCGCAAAACAACAACAACAACAAGAGAAGCAGAGAAAACATTTCTCTTTAGACCAGAGTACAGTAATCTTCGTGCACCGAGGGTAATACTATGAATTTCGTGGAGGTATTCCAAACTAATTTCAACCTAAACTTCGAGATGGAAATAACGAGTATTTAGCTGTCTCCCCGTTCGAAACACTTCGATCATTTTGATTCAAGCGCAGTATTCTACAAGGACCCCGTTTCTAAGCTGCCTCGTTGCAGGACGGCTGGATATTTTAATTTGCACTGTGCTCTTTTGTTTTCGTCATGCCTTTTGGATTGCTGTCCTTCATGATTTACTTGCGTTTTTGCGCATTTTTTATTTCTTTAAACACAAATTTTAAGGCAGGTAACACAATATCGACCAATAGCTATTGATAAATATCGCTCGCGTGATTAACATTTTCAAAGCTGGGGATAAAGCCATCTAACGATTTTCTTGTTGTTTGCCTTAACTCTATTACTTTTGGACTTAAATGACAAAATTTCTTCTGCTCTTGATCGCAAAGTGTATGCGACTGGAGTTTTTACAGATCTTTTTAAAGTCTCCGATACATTGAATCACGAAATTCTTTCTGATAGATTTTATAATTAAGGTATTTGTGGTCTTTCGTTAAAGTGGGTGTAAAGCTATTTTCAGAAACAAGACAGTTTGCTGCTGGACAAACTCAATCGCAGATCTCGAATGATAAACTGTGGGGTTCTACAAGGGTCAATTCTGGGTCCCATTTTTGTAATAAAGATGAATCACTTGAGTAGCGCTTCAAAGCTTGATTTAATCTTATTTAGAGACGATATGTATTCGACAGACCTATTTAAATTTCTTGATGAGTGCTTTAATTGTGACTAAAATCAATTTCAACTTGCACAATTCAATGAAGCAGTCGTCCTTCAAGTAGTTTTGGATAAAACTTGAACTTGGAAGTCTCACGTAATTATTTTAGCAAGTCAAATATCCAAATCTGTTTGTGTAATATTTATATTTAGTTTCTACCTCTCCAAACCTTAATTTATATCTTAATCTTTGTAATTTAGTATAGGGAGCAAGCTAAAAAACAAATTTTGAAGGAAAACCACGATAAAACAGCGTGTGATTAGGATTATAAACAAGTCTCATGATATTACACTAACATGTCACAATTTTAAGAAATATAAATTGCTGAAATTCCACGATCTTTATTTGTAGCAAAATGGATAGTATATTTTCTCGATCAAAGATCTATACTTCTAGGAAAATTTGAAAATATTTACACAAGAAACAATCAAACTAAAGGCTAAAACATAAGGCAATTGAACTTCTTTCGTTTTTGGCTATGAGGAAGAAATAACTGGAATTTTTCCGTTTTGTTAGGAACCTAACTTTCAACTCGTCAAATGGTGTTCATTACTTTTCCTCTCCATCTATATATCTTCACTACTTGTATGACTGGAATTAAATTTCTACCCGTAAAGACTAGGATCTGCATATCAGCAGTTCTAATAGACAAAAATGATAATAAATAAATGACAGAGAATAAAAATTCAGAGCAAAATATGTTAACGTTCTATGTAGTTTAAACAATCCAAATTAAAAAACAAAATAAAATACTCTATATAGGTGGACAGAAATAGATATATGAAGAAACAGCACTAATAAAGATTAACAAAATAACTAAAAGGCAGCTGAAAGTAGTCATCGTTTATTTCAGGCTGAAGGGATAACAGATGTCACTCGGGTCATTAATATCAAATATTTTTTGATCTGCATTTGCAATATTGGTAGGTCTGTCACTGAAACCGCAGAGATAATCTTTACCGGCTCAAAATCTAATCCAATAGATTTAATAAAGCTGTCATGAGCCGACTCTTTTTTTTCAAATGTGAGGGAAGAGGATAATGCTACTGGATATCACAACCTTTTTAATCTTTCCGGATTCCTTGAGTTTTGAATTTTATAAAGTAAAAAGGTTTTCTGAAACAATAAAGTGAAAACTTGTAATGGTTACAACGCAAAGTGAACGAACATTTGGCGTATCATGTATTATCAAGTTTTTTCTTCGCTTAGTAATTATCAACGCAAGGAAATGAGAGAATTATGAATATCCAAAAAAAGGACTCACGCAAAAACGTATGGCCTTTCGTTATCACTTGGAAGAATACAAAATAACCATTAGGTAAAATGTGTCACACCAGATCTCGTATACTGAATATAGAATTCAATAAGCTTTATAGTTCATCCGACGGAATCATCTTTTCATTCGTTTTTGAAAAAAACCGATTTAATATTTGTAACATGGGCTTGCAGACATTGCAATTTACAGAAGAATATGAAAAAAAATGAAAACTATCATTAACACGTAGAAGTTCCATAACAAAACCAAGAGAAGTGAAAATGGGTAAATAAAGACATCATGTGGCTTATTGTGGTCAGATTCAGGAGAGGAAAGAATTCCATAAACATTGTTTTGAACAGAAAAACCCTAACGACATACAACCACTCGTCTTATCCTATCAGAACACAAGATGTGTTCTGCAAAGATGAGTTGAGAAATTCCCGAAACTTCCCTCTCTTGCTCGGCTCGCATACCTTGCAAAGTTCTGCGTGAGTTTTCTTTCATTCCATCAGGTTACGAGCCGGGTCATCTCATTGTAATCTCATACATCAGCGATATCATGACTGCCTTTTAAGGTACGGCATCATTCAAAGCAAACATATCTCCTATTAAGGCAATGGACAAAATGTTTCTAAACTTCCATTTTATCCCTAAGACTTAGTTATTTGGCTAATCAAGCACAAACTCTTCTGTTTTCAAGTAATTTTTTTAATTCTTTTTCGTCTCCCTCTTTTAAGGGGACACCGAAAAAGTCTAAGCGAAACAAAACTTTTAAAACAGATAAGAAGGAAACGATGGATCAAACAGTTATTGCAAACAAATTTTGTCCATGATCTTCTGGCATCGGGCCAAACTTGGCAAAGGCATGCATCTCCCACAAATGCCGCATTTATCTGAAACTTTTAATTGATCGATTTTTAAAAACTTGGTAATGGAGGAAAAAAATTATTGCTATTGCAAGCCAGCCTCAGTGAGGTCAAGTTGTGGGCAATGATGGAATCCCTATATCCAGCGTAAAGCACTCTTTAGGGAGGCAGGTAAATCTACCTAGTTGAGCACGCTTGTAATTTTTCCATAAAGTATGGCATTGTTCATTGTATTGCTCGCGTGATAAAAAATTTCAAAGCTGGAGATAAAGCTAGTTTTTCTAATTATTGGCTTCTCTTAATCGTACTCTGCTTTTTGACCTCTCCTGGGGATCTTTTACTATAATATCTTAAGATATGTAAACGATTTTCAAATTCTTTGCTTTCACTCCGCTACTTATTGACTTCTATGACAACATGTCTTTTTCTCTGGATCAAAGAGTATGCAGTTGAAGGTTTTATAGATCTTTCATACATTCCTTTTGATAGACTATAACACTATGGTATTCGTGGTCTAGCGTTGAAGTAAACGAAAGCCAATTTCAGTGGAAAGGTAGTTGGTTAAGTAAGATTTACTGTAGGGTTCCGCAAAGGTCAAGTACTTCAAAGCTTGGGTAAATCGTAAATTCTAAACTTTGTCAGCTTTCCTATTTCCTTTCCTACTGCTTCAACCTTCATGAAAAAAAAAAACTTTATAAATCTTTTATCAAAAGTTGTTAACTCTACTGTAGTTTACAAATGTTATACAAATGTTGTAACAATGATCCTTTTTATATACACATCCATATTGTTTTCCTGGTTTGTAAACCTAAATTTTCAAGTCAATGTTAGTCATGGGTGTCCTCTCCATTTATTTTTCTTCAATCAAGTTTTGGAATTTAATGTTCATGTGTAAGAAAAAAAGGCAACAGTAAGCCATCACTGAAAAGCTTGGTAATTTTTGCCTTTTGATGACAGAAAGTGATACAAATTTTAATTTATCTAGGATCCGCATATGGGCAATTCTGAAAAAAAAATTTCAGAGCGAAATAAATAAGTTAATGTTCTCCGCAGTCAAAGCAATTCGAGGTAAGATAACAGAGAATATTTTAAAGCGGAAGTTTTTCAGAAATATATGCATAAGCATCAATAATAATAGAATGCATTTTTATATAGTGATCGAAAACAACTAAATGAAGTTACTTTTTTCTTTCAGGTTATAGGGATAACACTTTCCAATGGGGTCAATAACCTTAAAGTTTTTCACATGCAGATCTGTGTTGGCAATATTGGAAGGGTTATCACTTTAATACACCTTCGAGAGCTAAAATAAAACCTCCTGTTTCTACTGAGGTATTGGGCGAAATTTTTCTTAACTTATTTGACCAGTTAAGCAGGAACTTTTGCTGTACGTGATAAAATGAATTATGTCGCCGATTTTTCGCCAGCCGTCTTCCGACGCAAACCGCAAAGCGCAAAGCGCTAAATTCTTCGAAGCTTGAATTTCCATACCTTTTTGAACAACAGGAAGTGTTTTAACTTATTACGATGCAACTTTACTATTGTGCATATTCAGAAAAACGGAATGCATAACTTTGATTGAGGACAACTTGGAAGATTGATTTAGCTCTCTAGCTCTACATGGTATTATTAATTGCGCTTTGGAATTTAACTTTTTCAATAAAGTTGTCGAAAACGATGACTTCACCAGAAACAAAAGGTGTCTGTCTATTGGGTTTAACTCTGAGTTCCGCAGGATGTGCCTGGTTTCCCTAAAATGGTTGGGCACACTGCAAAATGATGTGATGTAAATAAAATGTGTTTTTCCTCTTTCTGATTCCCCCTAAAAACCTATACCATTTTGTGATGGTTTAAACTGAACCTTGCCACTCAGGAAACTTCCTTTGTAGCAATAAATCTTTGGGAAGTTGACATAGGAAAGTTCAATTACCACTATTTTCACAGAAGTGAAACTTTATTGACTGTAAGAGAAATACTCTTAAATTTTGACAGTCATCCCTCTCTTATTTATTTATGAACCTCTGTTATTCCCGAATCGTCTTTGCTAACTTAAAATGAAATGGAGGCAAATCAGGAAATTTCCCGGCCAGTGAACTCTCACGATTTATATCTCTGTTTGATTTCATTGTGTTTGTTGAGCTTTACAAGGTCTAAAAGGAAATATTTGACATTTATAAGTACACTTTATAAGAGTCTCCATAAAGGAAAAAGACAATAAGGTGACCTCCCATGCGTGACGACACCCAATCAAGATCGGTGGACTTGCTGTCTATATCTGTCATTGTGCGTTCCGATGACGCCCATGATTACTGTACCTCTGGAGAAAGACGTTTCTTGGCATGATTATCGCCTGCAGAATTATTTAATTAACCATAGAGCTCTATTCTCTTGGTGCGTGCCTGGGTGTGTCAGCGATCAAAAACGCCCCCTTCTTCCTTTTCTTTTTTTTTTTTTTTCTTTATTTTTTTTAATGGTGTTGGTTTTCAACTCACGCAACGGTAAAAACTCCAGAAGCAACATTTAAATTCGAAGTTCTTCGTGGGTGCGTGGAATTGTTTATTCAGGGGATAGAGAAAGTAAATGAACACATCCTTTAGAAATTTTCGTAATTCCCATGTGTATTGAGAGACCACCGGACAGCGGAAAAGTGATGTGTTACTATAGGAAGCCCTTTGAATAGCAAAGTTACATGCTATTAGCCCTCTGCCCCTTTTTACACCAAAACAAATCTAGCACTTCCTCGACACTCTCCATGTCGAAAATGAGATTAAGGGCACTGGCTATAAATATGGATACGAGCAAGGATGCGAGCACATTCGGTTGCTGGCCTGTTAAAACCTGCGTAAAATATTATGAGAACTTACAGAGGCCTGAGGGATCATTCATGCACTCTCCTGGTAGGTAGTATTTTACTTTTATGTGGTGCTGCTGGAAAAGATCCTTTCTGAAGAGTCTCAGAAGTCTGGCATAAAAGCCTTCCTAACTGAAACAAAATCAAGAAACAAGCAGGCAAGCAAATAAACAAAGAAACAGAACAAAACAAAGTGCTCTCTGCTACTCGAGGCCTTTTCCTTTCATTTATCGATTTATTCCCTTTATTTGCTAATTTAGACTTGATTGACATTTTAATTTGCCGGTTCGTACAACTATCGTAAATTAAGGCGTCGCTCGTTTCATTCAAAACTGGCTGGAAAACATGCTAATTGGAATACGAATGTTTTTCTAAACTGGATTCTAGTAATTCCTGACCTAAGCATGCAACCTGAAACTTCATGATTTTTCTCTGTTGACCCAAGTTATGGGTTGTCAAAGAGTCAATCACTGTAATTGGTAACGGGCATTTTCAGAATCCTCCTACCCTAAAAGTGATTAAACGTTTTTACATGATCGTCCTCTTTTCAGTGGGGTAAGGTGACTTCGAGCTTATTTTGATTTTTTACACAGGTTCTAATGTTGTTCGCATTGGCTGAGATAGCAACTTTATCAAACCCAAGAAAGGTGCACCTTCAGTCAAAATTTAGATTAGAACCAAAATGTTTTCGAGGCAATCTCATGACAATTCACGTAGATAGGGCTTGTCAAGCTTCAGGAAGGCCTTGCAGGGCAAGGTGCGATGGTGAAAGAAAAACAACTAACAACACAAGTGAGTGATAATTGTCAGTGAAATTTAACTGAAGTCAGTACTTAAGGTTAATTATTTAACTGACAAGAAGGCCTTCATACTCTGATTGCCCCACAAGTTGCATTGTCCTTGTTTAGAAATCGCTTCTTAATAAAAGAAGATTCCAGAAAGTTTTTGATAACCGAGGAAGGATGACTTTTGAATAAGGAACCTGCACATAAAAAAAATGCTAAATTCTAGAAAGATGCAAAATAGATGTAGTGCGCAAGCGTAAGACGAGGACATCGAGTCTCTGGTGTAGATTTCAAATAAGATGCTCTGTTGTAAGGCAAATGAGACCTCCTATCATCATCACGTTATCATCATCAGCGCTTCAAACCGCAGTTAACTGTTTTTCCCAAGAACCGCCATATGCGAAAATTCCTTATTAACCTTTTCGGAAGAAATATATAAGTATGTTTTTAAATATTATTTTTGATTTGGTCATCTAGAATTTTCAGTCAGGAAAATCAACGGAAAGAGATGTATTGAGTTCACTGTTGACCAAAGTACGAAGTATGCATTGAAAGTAACTAAGAGAACAAATGATGTCGTCTTTGAGGTAAGTGACGAATCTATCGTAAATAAAACTTCAGTGTAGGGTGCTTTCAATTCGAGAGTCGTAACACTAAAACGAACCCCTTCGTATGACAAAATTCAAGCGCAATAACCACTTACAGATAATGACCCATCATTCTGATTGTAGACATATTTACCCAAACTCGTTTTTATTGGCTTAGTTTAACCTTATTGAGTCAAATTTGGTAAGTTACCTTCACTCTTAGGCTTTGAAAAACACCGTGTAAGATAAGCATAAGCCGCTACGCTATAATCTGTTAGAATGGTATAATAATCAAGTGACTACTTACTTTTTCCGTAGTTTGCAATTTTTAATAAGCGTATCTTGATCCTATTAACAGAAACGGGAGTGTAACAATTCCATCGGCAGCGAGTTCCTTTTTGATGAGGTTAGAGTAGAGGGAACGACTCGATTGTACAGGTACAAGCACAGTGACACAACGTGCGTTGGAGTATCCTCAGATTGTCAAGACACTAGGTTATACTTACACAACACAACTATTAATGATAAGCGTTGCTATTTCAGAAAATGGGTGTAATATGTTAGACAAGTATCAACAAAATAAAGTGAATTTCATGAAAATGCAATATGAGGTTCTCTATTTTCCTGTCTTTTTTGGCTTGTTCGAATTGGTTACCTAGTTTGGTTATCACACGAGTCTTTTAGCATTTAAATTTTAACCGACGCTATCGGCAATTATAACATATTAAGATACGTACGGAAACTGTTTATTTAGAGAAGCAGTTTAAATTTGAGTTCTAAAGGAAAGCCTTCGTTACCGCAGAATTTATGAGTGACTCATTACGTTACTCTGTGCTCTGAGTTTTTGCGGTTCTTGCCCAAGCGCTAGGCCCCGGATGACGACGATAAATTTTCGTTCAACCCAATAGAAATTTTTTGAATTAGACTTTAATCGACACGGTTTCTTCATGTCCCTGCGGTGACTCTCGAGGTCAATTCAAAGGACGCTAATGCAAGTTTGTGCTCGCTTCCTCAAGATTTTGTTTTCTGTATTTCTGCTCAAATAGTTCGGCACTCTATTTTTTGTTTCCGTTGCCACTTTCTTTGCGTTACCACACACGTATGAGCACTCAGAGTATGCTGCGTACTGTGTGCTGCACACGAACGGAATTTGAACCCAACAGCTTTGTGTGTAACGAATCCGTGGTTTAATAACCTTTGGATTACACTAAGGTTAATTCGCAAGGCTGCAGTGGTCACAGTTAATAAGTTTAGGTTAATAAGGTAGTTTTGCGATCCCAGCCTCAGTGATATAACAAAGAATTCTCGTTATTTCAGTCGTCACTCATTTCGATAATGCTATCGACGATCCGATGACCAACCTGAGGAAACTTACGTATATTTGCTTCGCTTTGATTGGTCTTTGATTTTGTTTATTTATTCTCTTCGCCTTTCCCTCGTCTTTGGGCTGGTTGACTACGTTTTGTACTTGGAATTGATATTGATTATTACCTTAATTTGTACTCGAGCAAAACTATTACAAAAGAAAACTCAAACGACTAGTAAAGAACAAATTGGGTTGAGAATGAGTCCCAATCTTTTCTTATTGAGATCGAATTCAACATATGATTGTATAATGTTTAAATGTGTCATGAATCTTGGTCAAGTCACCGCAATACATGACAATAATAATAAGATAAATAATCAAAATAACGATAATATCTATATCTATTATATACATATAAATATTATATATATACTTTTTAATAATGGTATAGCACCAGGATATATTGGTAGTTTAATGACCTCATTACGCGCTCTCCAGAGAAATAGATTTCTTCATGGAAAGTGCTGACGTGCGATAATTACGCACGAGTTTTTATTTTCACAATCGGATCTTCGTCAAGTCACCGCAATAAATGATAATAATAAGATGAATAATCAAAATAATGATAACATTTATATTATAAAAAGGTGACAATGCTGTGAAAATGTGTTGGTCTGCAAGTCTTCCTTACTCCATCTCAGAAATATTGCTAAAATTAGGTAACACTTGACTTTATAGAGCTCATAATCACTTGCCTATACTTTTGCTCTTTTTGTTTAAAAAACTTCAATTCGCTTCTTATTAGTTCGCCAATCGCTAACTTACACTGGAAGTAAAGAAGTAAAAAAACTGATTCCTCGAGCATTGTTGAGTTATCTAAGCACTTAGGAATTTTTAAGAACACTCGAGAAGTGCGAGAGGCACCAGCCGAAGACTCGTGCTTCTCCGCACTTTGCTCGAGTTCTTTTATTTCTTTTATTTAGTGTATCTTGAATTGCGCGCTTGTACCGATGACGTAGGCTGCGTACATTATATCTCAACAGTGCACTCGTGTAACGTAAGGCGCGTGCGTTATGGAAATGACCAATCACGGCGCGCGCATTTCTCTGATATTTTATAATGCTTAATAATGACATAGCACCAAGATATATTGGTAGTTTAATGACCTCATTACGTGCTCTTTAGTGATATAGATTTCTTCATGGAGAGTTCTGACGTAAGATAATTACGCATGAGTGTTTATTTTCACGATCGGATCTTCGTCAAGTCACCGCAATACATGACAATTTTTTTTTCATATATTATAAAAAAGGCAAAGCCTTCCTCGTTCGTTTTGTGAAAACAAACTCGTGCGTATACATCGAAGAAAAACACTTTCCATGAAGGAATTTGGTTTTTACAAACTGAGATTTTCTCGAAATTAAAGGTGATTTATTCAAGTATCCAGGAAGTTTTGAAAGCTTCTTAAATAACTTACAAAAAAGTGCCTTACAAGTTAAATCAAGGCTTGAAATAGTAAAATAAAATGCGGAATTGAATTAACTAAGCTTACAGCATGACAATTTCATAACAACGAATTAGTATATCTTAAATATTCATTTAAGAATATACTGAATAAAAAGAAGGAAAAGCTCGACAAAAATAAGTTCTTAGCTTCTCAACGAAGCTGACTCTTTCTGTGTCAAGAGTGGATCGTCGTCGTCGTCTGAAGAGTCAAATATGCGTTTTATTCGTTTACAAGTTTGTTGTTAACGGTCATCTGTTGAAGACTAGGACGAGTTGATATTAATGGTGAAATTTCCTTCGTAAAACACAGCACCTTAAGCCTATGTACTTACGAAGAAAACTGTGTGTAAATCCTAGTATGTACATAATAGATAAGTATCATAAATGAGTATATACCACTAAAGTAGGAAGTGCTTTTGCGAGCGCTGATTGAGTTAGGAAGTGAATATTAAGTACTATTCACCTCCGAGCAGCCGATGAGACAAAATTGCTCATCAAGAGTTTTGTTTCAGACCAATTTTTTTCCGGCATATTGACAAAAATAAAATTATTGTTTGGTATTTGTGTGGTATTTCTAAGACAATAATTACCACTTTGTTTGATAACTATTTCCTGGTTTTGATGTAAAAGCGATATAGAGCATTTAGGGCATGATTTTTTTCTTATCATAGATAGAGTTTTATATACCGCTCTAGAAATAACTATTTATTATTTATTATTTATCAATTAGTATGATTACCTTGTGAGACAGTTTTATTATCTTGTCGCTATCGCGTTCAGAGCAAGGGTTAAATAGAAAGTTTGCAGCAACTCGGAATCCAAGCCTCGCTTCAGTATTCGTTAACAACCGATTGCTTTGGTTTCATGTTTCTCATAAGGATATTTAATAAAGAAACTTCAAGTCGTCTTGATTTTTCGCGCTCGATGTATTTCTTCACTCTCACATGACTCGATTACCGACTTTCCCTGGGGCGTAGTGGATGCATCCGAGGGTCAAGTCAAAACCTGAAACTTTCGACGAATTACATCAATTTTTTTTCTTCTTTTTTCGTAAACGAACTGATTTTCGAAATTGGCAGGAAAAGGCACGGGAATGCTATTTTCGTTCGATTTGCTTACCGAGGATTCGTCCTTTTATTTAAGTCCAATTTGAATCATCATCCCGAACCAGTGGGAAGATAAAATTTTATGGACAGTAGGGAAAAGTAATTACCTGCTACAGAACTTTTCCTTATCTAATCAATTTATTATAAACTTTGGTTTGAATCTGTCATACATTTACATAGGCATACTTAATTCAAACAATAACTAAGTAAATATCAGTTTCAAAGACGTCGGAACTTTTTGAATAAGCATCGCTTATCATTGCTTCCAGTGATTAACAAATGCAAATTAGTATCATCACAGTTGGAAGATATTCCAAGGCACATCGTGTTTCGATGCATGTACTTAAACATTCCACTAACTTTCTTCTCTGTAAAAAGGAACTCGCTGCCAATTGAGTTGTCACACTGCCGTTCCTGAGAATTAAACGATACAAGATGAACATAACACAAAACAAAGAAGCAAACAATCATAAAACAAAAAAAAACGATTGTAAATTAAAAGAGCATGAGAAAAAAAAAGATTCATTGCTGTCAGGCTCTAATAAACCAAATTGTAGTTCTCCCCATGTTCTGAATAGTTTTTTTTTCTATTCTTTTTGTTGTTCCAAGAAAGACACAATAGTGTTTCTCATTCGTACAAACGGGAAGAGACGATCGACTGACTGTAAGTAAAAGTAAAAGTAGGCCTCTATATCATTGTCATTTTTCTTTTTCTTTTGATTAACAACTATGCAGACCAGCAGAAAGATAGTTATAATACAGACACTAAGAGCAAAATTATTTGAATTTTTAACCCATGAAAAAGCACAACTTTTTATGCCATATAACAAATGGCATAAAAAGATAATCGGCTCATATGAGTGGGTGGGTGGGTCAAGCTTGGTCTGATGTGAGTTTTAGATTGCTGTTGTGTGATTTGAGTGTTTTTTCACGGTAAGCTTTTATCCAATCGTAAAATTTCCATTATGTTTTAAATATATTGGGCATTACGACTCCTGAAGTTCAAAGTTAATCCACTCAAAAATCGTTTGACTCTCTGCATACAGTTCTCTTGATTTTCATGAAGAGAAGTCCAGCACCGTGTCACGCCTCACGCTCGACTCAAGACACAAGAAGCAGACCAAATGGCGCAAAACGCTCGAATCAACCAAAATTAACACGCAAATATAAACTTTCATTTAGCTCACCTCAAAAACAATATCATTTGTGCCGTGCTTGATTTTTAATGCGTATTTGGTATTAGAGTGCTTATCAGTAAACTGGATGCACCTCAAGCCTCTGACTTTCACAATTGAAAATCCTGAAAATCAATGGAAAATTAGCAAATAAAATGTGAGTAATCTCTTCTCTTATGGAAAAGCACCAATCATTATGGAGGCCCTATTAGGGGTTATCGGCATACGGAATATTTGGCGAAAAAATTATAGGGATATGGGATATTTGGGCGGAAAATTAAATGGATTCGGGATATTTAAAAAAGATTCTGGGATATCGAAGATCGAAGTTCTCATGTTTTAAAAGAATGAAATTAGTTTATTAGTTAATATAGAAGGAGAAAAAAAAAACTTTCAAATGAGATTTTTACATTTTGCCATCAAATATTGTCAATATTGGCGATAGGTGCCAATATCGGCTCTTTTCCGAGAACAACTCTCCCCTTCCCCCACGGCTTTTCCC